AGCCAAAACCAAGAGTCAGACACTTAACCAACTGAGCCATTCAGGTGCCCCAAAGATTACATATTTTTAATACTTTAAGTCCTTACCTTAAAACATTCACTTTGCAGCCCAAATATAACTGTCTTTTTTGAGACAACCCCTTTCTAGGCTGAGCTGCCTAAAGCCCGTCTCTTAACTACTGCTTGGCAACTTCCCTTTACTCCATGTAATGAGTCCCTGAACAATAAAATTTCCTACTTTTCGTATTTTGTTCTCCAGTTCTCATCTCTGTGCTATTTACATCAACTGTCCTAAAATTTTATTACCCTTTTCCAGATCTGACCTCCTCCTTTCACCTTCAGAGATAATATAGACTTTCAGGTATGAGCTCTCACAGTTCCTTGTGCTTCCACCTGTAGCTTAGCCACACGTGCCCCTTCCTGATTGTCCTTGTACGTGAAGTGCTGCATAAGGTCAGTCCCTCCACATGTACGTCCACTTGGTGGAGTTCTCTCCATCAATCTCCCTCTCTCTTTTGGTTCTTCATTTTCTCTGGTACAGCAAAATGTACCCCAAAAATATATAGACCAAAAACTATGTACCACTGTCTATCATTTCTTCTCTTCCCTTCCCATTGCAGTTAAACTTCTTGACAACTTTCTCCCAACCCTGAGATTGTTCCTTTAGTGTAAATTCTCACTATTTTAATCTCATATTAGTCCTTTATTTCCAAATACTTACTGAGCATTTTCCTATAGACACTGTTCTAAACCTGGGACTTAATTCCTGTCATTATAGCACTTAAATTTTAAAAGGGGAGGCTCAGAAGAAACACACAGTACACTCTCCAAGAGGGATATCTTGTTAGAACATAAAGCACGGCAGGGATGCTATGGGATGACTATGGGAGAGGAGGAGCTACAGAGGATGGTCAGGGATGGCTTTGTCGTGGGATTGACATTTTAGCAGAGACTTTAATGTCAATGAGCCACTCAGCAAAGGTCATGGGGAAATGCACCAAGGTGAGAGCAGGCTTGGTATACTCAAGGCCCTACCAGAGTGACTAGCAAGTAGTGATGAGAGGCGCTGGGGCCAAGCAGGGGGCCAGAGAAGTAAGTGGAAATGAGATTGTATAGGCTATGTAAGGAAGTTGTGTTTCCATCTGAATTGGGATGTCAACGGAAATTCAAGGAAGGGAGTGATGTGATATGCCATCTCATTGAGTAAAACACAAATTCATTGAATAAAACACAAACTCCTCAGAAATACTCAAATATAGCATCTCAGAATATACGCCCATGTTTTGAAATTTCCATCTTGGGAATAAAATTTTTTCCCCAAAACCCACATTGTAGAGAAAGAAAGGGAGAATCAAGTATTCCCTTGAGTACTTGAAAGAAAAGGCTCTTTGTTCTTTCAACTAACAGAGGCTAAAAGAGCTTCTTCTGAAATTTTTGCTTATGGTTCAGATTTTAATTTTATTGGTATTGATAATACTATTAATAATACTAATTTAAGGATAATTTTGAGATGAATATGACAGTATTGTTGCTTCTCATTCGTTTATATATATTTGTGTTTATCCTACCTGCAAGACACTACCTTATATTTTAGCCTTGTATTAGATTAAGCGCAGACCTTATGCCATGAATCCTTTTGGCTTAGTTACAGGAGAATGATAGCCCTAATTCATCAAGAGAAGTGTAGAGTTTGGCAGTTGAGATTTTTTTTTTTTTGCTAATCTATTAGCACTCTTCTTCCTGGTTCCAATGTTGGATGGTGGCATGTAATGAAATGACTGGTTAGGGGTGATCTGAGGCTAGGGAAGACAGAAGTGACAGGCCACAGAGAGGAAACCAGTGACGTCCCCTTACAACCATGAATAAAAGGTTCAAATCAACGTGCAACATAGAAATTAGTTCCTAAATGCCTTGAATACCATTTCTCAGCTAAGATTAACTATCTGAGTGTGTAAGGGTAATATCACATTACATTAAACTGTAAAAACGTTCACATGTGATTCTCAAGCTCTATGATGTTACAGGGAAACCTTTTAAATGTTTGGGTTCAAAGACTGAGACCTTTCCTGAGTTCTACCATCAACTGACTCATGGCTGTGACTAGAAAACTTATCTTTCTGGGACTGAGTTTCCCCCATAGCATTAATGTTGGATGATTTGATGAGTCTAAGAATTATCTTTTTGGGCTAGGCCTGTAGGATAGAAATGATAGTAAAACTCAGTGATAATTCAACTGAAAACTTTCATTTTTAGCCTAAGAATAATTTAATCACACAAAGAGAACTTATTAAACTAAATAGAAACTCTTGATTCTGAGTGGATCTGATGGTGATCTCTAGTGACTATGTCAAGGACAGGATGAATATGATGACACAAAGCCAGTACATAAAGCTTTACCCATGTAGATGGCTACGGAGAGTGGAATATAACTGATAACTGACAATAAATGAATTTTTGCAAAAACCAGTGAACTGCCTCAAAATGAAATTCTTTTTTGGCTTGTTCTACCAATAGAGATAGTAATGTAATCTTTGGCTTTTCCATTTAGCTTGTTGTCTATTGATTGCCTGTTTGGTTAATTAAACTCTGATTTACATCTTATGTAAAAAAAAAAAAATCTCCTCTTAGGACTTCTTACTAGTATATGTGAATGGATCTGCACCTCCTACTTTTGAGCCACTCAACCTTCCTTTCCCTTCACAAGGGATTGGTCCAATACACTGCATTTGTCGGTCTTCCAAATACCAGCATGTAAAGCTTGATCTTCTTGAGACTGTTTATCTTTGCAATTTGCTAATTCATTTGAAAGATCAATGAGAACATGAAAGGTTCTCATCATATTTTCACTTTTATTGCATCTATAATAAAAATGTTATTTTAGTAAATAAAGATGGCTCAGTTCATTGCAAAAGTGTTTTTTTTTTTCCCATTATCTTCAGGTAGCACCCAGAGCCAAAGCCAAAGCATATGAAGTTAAGTCATACTGTGGTTTTTCCAGCTTCTTTTAAGAATCTGGAAACTACAAGTCCGAGTTACCTAAAGAAATGATCATTTTTCTGATAAATACAAAGTCAGTAGCTTTATAGATAGGCAATATATATAATTCATTTTTAAAAAACATTTAATTTATTCATTCCTGAGAGAGAGAGAGGCAGAGACACAGGCAGAGGGAGAAGCAAGCTCCCCACAAGGAGCCCAATGTGGGACTTGATCCCGGACCCCAGGATCGTGCCCTAAGCCAAAGGCAGATGCTCAACCGCTGAGCCACCCAGGTGTCCCTATAATTCATTTCTATAGGAAAAAATATTTTTTCTGATACTCATAGAAGAACTTGTCATATAAAAATATTTATATTTGTAAAATACGCATCATTTTAAACAAGTAACATGCTCCATTTTAGTATCACATGAGACATACTTATAAATCATCCAGTAGTAAAGTAGTTAAATATGAATTTTTAGCTTCTGATTGAAATGGAAATTATTTCTCAAATATCCTGGATAATTCCTTTTTAGAACTGAAAGACTAGGGGTACCTGGGTGGCTCAGTCACTTAAGCATCTGCTTTCGGCTCAGGTCATGATTCTGGGGTCCTGGGATCAAGCCCTGCATCACATTAGGCTTCCTGTACAGTGGGGAGCCTGCTTCTCCCTTTCCCTCTGCCCCTTCCCTCTCATGCTCCCATGCATATTTGCTCATATTCATGCTCTCTCTCTCTTTCTCTCTCTCTCATGTGCTCTGTCAAATAAATAAATAAAATCTTAAAAAAATGGAAAGACTACACCTCAACTTGACTCAAATAAGGGTTATTACATATTGTTAAATGGCTCTCATATAATTTTATCATTAGTATGAGTGAAGTAGTGATACTTTGCATGTCTTTCTGAAATTCTTATATTACCTGTGTGAGATTGAAAATGTAACAACCAAAAAATATTTTTTTTAATAAAAAAAAAAGAAAATGTAACAACCATACCCAAATTTACACCTCCAAGTGTAAAATTCCTTTAAAATAGCTAGCTGGGAAAGCTGTTAAATTATTTCAATGATGTTACTGTTGGTATGGTCTCTTCTTTTGAAACTCCTTTCAGAGCAACTATACCTATTGGTGAAGTTCAAGGGGATTTTGATTTATCTGTTTATTCATTTGACAGATATTTATCAAATAGCAACTATCTGCTAGTTATGCTTATTTCTAGATTGATGAAAATTTAAAACCAACAAGCAACATGCCCCTGGCCTTCTGTTTACAGTCTAATGGTTTTAGTTTGTGGAACTGCTAAAAACGGAATTTGGTAAAGATTAAGGATATTAGTGAATACCATTTTAGTGAAAAATCTTATGCTGCAAGGAGATTGGTTTTTCTTTTTTACTTAGTAAAATGGTTTTCAAAGTGGTATCAAAAAGAATTTTTAAAACAAAATTCAAACCATTTTGAACTCTTAAAGTATCTTTGGAATAGACTGATTGCTTGTCTTGGTACTTAATTTGAAGATTAACATTCATTTAGATAGTTGTTAATATTACTATTTTACTTTATTAGCTTTTTAATGTATATTTTGGACCTTATATTAACCACATTTTGTTTGGTTAATATGAAAATTCTAAGACAGAGTCCTGGATTATATTTGAGAAAACTGTTACACAAGGTAGCTACTTAAATAGGGTGGGTTAACCTCTTGATCTTTAGTTTTGTGTATATATTTAATTTTACATAAAGTGCAGAGGCATGGCCTGCCCTTGGCTAGTTTCTTTCAGTTTGTGCATGTATGTGATTATACACCTGGAAATAAAATGGAAATACCTAGTTATGCTTCATCTGGAAGTATGATATTATGTCGTAATAAAATTGGACTAAAAACCAATTCTACCCTTGACATCCAATGCACAGTGTAAAAAAGAGAAGAAAAAAAATATTCTCACAGTGAATACACAGAGGAGGAGCCCAATGTAGTATTCTGGTAGTTTTATTTATAATAATCCAACATATCTGTCTCTACAGGGGGATCCTTGGATGTATATAGAAAAATTCCAGAGCATGTCCTTGGAAGAATTGCAATAGCAGTGAGTATATATGGCTTCAACCTTATGAAATTTGGGTGATTTAATCCTTCTAGTCAAGTCTATTCTCCTTATATCCTCAGGATGTTTTCTTTTTTCTTCAATCCTTATTGACCTCCAGGGCCTTCTCTCTCTCTCTCTCTCTCTCTTTTTTAAGATTATTTATTTATGTGTTTGAGAGAATGAGAGTGTAAGAGCATGAGCCATGGGGGAGGGGCAGACAGAAGGAGAGCAGGGTCCCCACTCAGCGGGGAGCCCCACACCAGTCTCCATCCCAGGATCCCAAAATCATGACCTGAGCCGAAGGTACACGCTTAGCCAACTGAGCCACCCAGGCACCGCTGACAGGGCCTTCTTAACTCTCTTGTCATTTTTGCTTTTTCTTGTTTTCATAGACAACCCACAATAATAACATAATCACATGACATGCTTCAGACTTACGGGTTCTGTGACCTATTTTATTTTCATGTGTATACTGACCTTAGTACACTTGTTAACCAGTAAAATTTCCAGGTTCTTCAACAAGGAAACAGTTTGGGGGACATTTTGTAGTTATAGGCATATGATTAGAAAATACATTTCAAGTCCAAATTGTTAGAATAAAACTATTTATAAAAAACACTACTTTATTTTTAAAGATTTTTGCATACTTTTTGTGTTCTTGGTTTTTCGTTTTTTCACCAGCGATACCTAGGAATTTATTCCCTTTGTGATTAAAAGCAGTTTTCCCGTTTTCTAAATTCACACATAAATCAATGAAATAACTAAGCTGACATTACTATAAGCTCCACATTTGAAATTTGGAATAATATAGGCTAAACAACATTTGAGAAAAGTCATGGGGTGGTGTAATAGTAAACAGTTGCTAAACTAAAGGCTCTCTGATAACTTAAGCAGTCTAATGCAGAACAAAGAGATTATATCATGTACCATTTAATTAAATGGCTGCTTTTCGCATTCATTATACATCAAACTGACAACTTAAATCCTTTAATCCAACATGGACACTTATTTAGTCTTAGTTCATTGTAATTCACAGCTTTCCTTTTTTCTTTCTAATTACTAGTGTGAACTGCCCAGGGTGATGAGAACTTTCTTTTCGGATGCTATTGCTAAGTAGCTTCTAATCTACATGTTTAGGTAGATGAGTTTAGTATGAAATTTGAGTACCTAAGTCACTATTTTAGATGAAAATAAAAATGTTTCATTTCCTCTTTTAATCTCAGAGGGGAATGAATGCTTTGTGGCTTTTGGCAGTTCTTGGCTCTAAAGTTTAATAACACGTATAATAAAGGGCAAAAAAAGGCAAGGATACCAATTGAAAAAGAAAAAAGTATATGAGTTCTATATACTCAATTATGTGTTGAACTTGGCTAAAATAGGAATCTGCCTTCTTCAGTTAGAGAAGCATGTTCTTCCTAGACTTCATAAATCTTACCTCCCTTTTGTATAGGGCATCCACACAAGGCCATTGGTCTTTTCAATTCTACTGGAATGAGAAGCCTGCAAAGTGAATGGAGTCAGCAAAAAATAATAATAATAATAATCTGGCTTCAAATACTGGGGTTACCTATTGGGTAATCAAAAATATGACAGAAATTATTTTAGTGAAAGGCACTTATAAAATAAGTGCTAGCCCAAAGCATTGTTTACATTTGCCCTTACATTTTTAAAAATTAGGCTTTTTCCCCCCTAAAATGTGTCCAGTTTCTTTAGCTTTTATGGTTCATCAGGTCATAGTAATGAAAACTGCCTGTGGCCAGAGTAAAAGAAATGCTTTTGATAATTTTGCTCTTCATCTGCTACTTTTTATAAACTCTGCTGGGGTCTAAGCTTGTATAATGCCTCCAAAGCATATTTTTAAAAAGTAATTTGATTAGGCTACAAACTTGGATAATTCTTTGTTGCAGCTCACACACACAAATGGAAGGATTCCCCCAATCAAAATAAGACTAGCAAATTGATGGTTTGTAGGTCATGGTTCGCAGCATAAATATTCTCGCAGCCTGACTGAGTTTCCAGTATCCTTAGTTGTCTCTCTTCTACTGTTCTGAAGACAGATCAGCATTGTTCCCTTGAGTTCCCTCTATGAGGCTGAGAAAGCACATGGGTGCTCTTTGCCATGTCAGAAGCAACAGAATCAGATGAGCAAGGAGAGAAATAGGTGTTTATTAAATACCTCCTTGTGCCAATTGTTGATTGTTTTATGTGTAAATATTGTATCATTTAGTCTTTATAGAAAACTCGTAAATTGTAGTAAATTGTAGGTTATTGATCATATTTTATACATGTGCAAGATGAAGTGTAGGACAGTTAAAGTTATCTATAACTAATCAGTGAAGATTTAAACCCAGTGCTGTTTCACCCCAGGCCTCATGCTCTTTCACTGTGCTTTCCTAAGAGGATGAAAAAAAAGGAGAGGAAGGGCTGAAAAGGAAAACAGGGTTAAAGAGAAAAAAATAAAGAGAAAAGAAAGAGAAATATATGAGAAAGGAGTGGAGTGACACATACAATTGCTTCAGATTCTTTTCATGTCTTAGAATCATATTTAGGCATCTCTTCCTCCCCCAGTTAGCTTTATTTTCCAGGTTCCAATAATCTAGCATGCTGCAGATGCCCAAAGATCCAAGGTTTGTTACAGGATGGACCCCTGTCAGCCTATATGATATGCTGTTCAAATTTTCTCTTGTAGGATATATGGCAAGAGAATATTTTTCTAGGAAAAAAAATTCACATAAATTGGCTGATTTCAGCCTTCCAACTTGCTCAGTGATTTTTACCTGCTTCTATTTGAACATGATCTCCTAGAAAGAAGAATGCCTTTCTGCCATTCCCTGCCATCCTGGCGCATTTTATTTTTCCTCTCATTTCTGAAGCAATGACACTGTGTACTGTATTTTGAGTGCTAATGTTGATTGAAGTTGTCCCTGAAAGGATGTGCACTTGACATGTCAAGGAGTGAGTGATTGACAGCAGATATAAGTACTTTTAGTGTCAAGGCTTTGTCAAGTTACTGTTGTGAAACCTGGCCTACTGAATACCAATAATATCCTCTAGAATTTCAATGGACAGATTTCTAGCCCCCTGTACACTGCTTTTTATATGCTTCTAAAGGAAAATGTAGTCTATATTGACAAAGTTGGAAGAATAATACATTCTTTTTGAAGCTCTAATAAGATTCATAATTTTAGTAAGTATCATGAAATCAGTATTTGGTTTTACTTTTTTTCTGCCGGATTATCTGAATATATCGATTGCCTTCCCTTCATGTGTTTTCTGGCTATTCCTTTTTTCTGGAACCAATTTTTAGTGGTGAACCATCTTTAATGGGAAGGTTGTATAATATACAACTAAGCTCCTAACTTGAGAAGTTTAACCCTGTTTCCAGAACTCAGCGGTGGTTACTTCTATGCTAAATAAGATGGCCTCCTCCTACTACCCAAAGAGTAGTACAAATAATTGTTTTCATTATTGTTGTTATTTTTGTAAACATTTAAGGAAATGCTTTTGCTTGTTGGTTGTCATTATTACTATTATGATATTTTCTCTTTTTTTCCTACTGTCTTACTGTCCAGAACAATGTGTTTAATTGAAATGTCACTTATTCCAAATCCTGGAAGAAATAATCTGCTATAAAAACGGATTCGGTTCTCTTAAAACAGACAAACTTATCATGGAAGTGATCATAACTTATAGCAGATCTTTCAGGAGAATATCCCCCTCTAAGAAAACAATTAAAATGTTAATCTCTGCTGAACATGAATTGATATAGATTTTACCTTTTTCTAGATCTTAAGTATTTGGAAATTTTTTTATCCCTTTGCATTTCTGTTTTTAGTATTGCTCTTAGTCTTTCTTGATCAACTAAAATCCTTTCATATTTAACCCCAATCATCTTTTCATCATTTTCAAAATATGTATAATGGTAGGTTTCCTTATTTTTATAGTCTTGACTCTCTATAGACTTGACTCTCCTAAAATTTTCTGTAATGGTGGGTACTTTTAAATTCTTGAGTGATAGTGGTTCATTCATTGTATCTGATACTAAATTTTGAATAGTCAGCCCTGAGATTGATATGTTCATACTCATGCACATACAGGGTCAGTAGGTGTGAATAAAAACACGTGCACCCCCTTTTACAACCATTTCTATAAAAAGATTGCTAAAGCATTTAATGATTAAACTTCCCACATAAAAGGCAGCACTTGCCCATGTACTTAGGGTCTTAGAAACATCTTTTTTTCAGAATCTTATTTGACTAATTACTCTTAACATAAGCTGTTCAATCAAAACTCCAATCTTATTCGAATGTTTGTATTTTCTCACTTTCTTTTCTTTTTTTTTTTTTAGAAATTTTATTTTATTTTATTTAAAAGATTTTATTTCTTTATTCATGAGAGACACAGAGAGACAGAGAGACAGAAACACTGGCAGAGGGAGAAGCAGGCTCCATGCAGGGAGCCCAGTGTGGGACCCGATCCGGGATTGGGATTCCCAGATCACGCTCTGAGCCTTTCAAAGGCAGATGCTCAACCGCTGAGCCACCCAGGTGTCCCTCTCATTTTCTTGACCTGCCCTTTAAGCATCTTGCATCCGCCAGACTGGCTTGTAAGGCTAATCATCTTGATATACTGATGATATACTTGATATACTACTTGAGTATCATTTAAAACATTTTTTTGGAAACTTTTTAAAAAATTATTTTAAATTTACAGAGAAGTTGTGAGATGCTTCCTCCAGATGCCCCAGTTATTAACAGTTAACTACATTTGGTTAAAAAATATATATATATACATATTTTTTTACATAAATATACATTACACACACACACACACACACACACACACACCAACACATACACATATGTATTCTTTTCCTGAAACCTTTGAGGGTAAGTTGCAGATATGGTGCTTTACCCCTAAATACTTCAGGTATATATTTCCTAAGAACAAGGACATTCTCTCACATCATCACTGTATACTGATCAAAATCAGGAAATTAGCATTGATTGGTACAAAACTCTTATCTAATCAGTCCTAACTCAGATTTTGCCAGTTGTCCAGTAATAATACCCTTTCTAGACCAAATGAATAAAAATCTCTGGTCCAGCATTCAGTCTAGGATTACACATTGTATTTAGTTGTCACATCTCTGGTCCCTTTTAACCCAGAGCAGTCTCAGCGTTTCTATGTCTTTCCTGACCTTCCTTGATCTTTTTGAAGAGTACGTGGCCCCAGCACTTGGACTGTATATTTTTACCTTGGCCTGAACACTTTCGTCTCTTTCCTTCACATCATTTGAATCTGTTACTTAGAGCTCAGCACTTTGGTAAAGTCTTCCTGATTATGGGCAGGAAAAGCCATCTCTGTTCCACCCATTGCTTTCATTCGTTAACTTTCAAAAAAATGTCTTTCTTAGTCATAAATATCATGACTTTAAAAAAAAAATCCACATTCAGAAGTATAGAAAAGGAAATCCTTTCCTCCCTGCCCACACCACCAACTGAAGATGTAGTAGATGTACTTCTAGGTCATCTTACATGCATAGACATTCGTTTTTTTTTTTTTTTCATTTATCGTGCTTTAGCTTCAGGACACTCTAAGCCCACAAAAGGAAGGGGGGCTGTAGCTTATACACTTGACATCCTCAAAGAGCCTGGTGCAGAAATGGGAGACATTCAATAAATGCATATTGGGGTTTTCAGAGTTTTAAAGGAAGAACTGTGGTTGATAATGATTATGTGTATAAATGTGGAAAGTTCCTGATAAAAATCATCATTGTGCTGTTTCTCTTTCTTAAATTTAGGTTGTTAAAGGCCTTACCTACTTGTGGAGTTTAAAGATTTTACATAGAGGTATGTACTGTGCTTATGAGTTCTGACTTAATTGTGAGGTTGGGTGGGGAGCTCTCCAGACACTTTGATTTTTAAATAAAATAAATGATCTGATATTTAAGCCAACTGATATATTTGGTAGTCAAAAATATGGCTGCCTTATCAATGTTTTTCTTATTTTCTCTTTCAGCTGCTCTGATTTAGATTATGAGCATACTATTTTTGTGGGTACCAAACATGTAAAAAGATATTTCATAGTATTTGAAAGTGACGGGATCTTATTCTAATCTCTAACTCTAGTTATTGCAAAGTCTTCATTTTCTATACAAGTGCATTCCTTCCTCTTATTAACACTCCAGGTATCACCAGATGCTGTTCCTTAAAATATGGCTTCACCTACCTTGAAAGTAAAACTTTAAATAAGGAATCAGTGAATGCATCAGAAATTAGTTCCCTGGTCTATTAACAGAACACAGGAGAAAAATAATCAGATAACTGTTGAATGTTGTAGAAGGAACCCGCCTCTGTATTTCCAGTGTTCCCAAAATGTCTGAATTTATTTGGAGCAAATTATTAAATGAGAAACATGACTAGAGCAAAACAACTTTAGAGCCTCGTATCACTAACAGTACTGTTTAATTTTACACATCTGTTTAGTCCCGCTTTATGCACATTTGGGGAATGCAACAGCATACACATTAGATGTGATTAAAGGAAAGGTTGTTTTTTTTTTTTTTTTTAAGGTATAGGCTTTGTGAGAGGAAACAATGGATGCTTTTAATTGTGGTATCACATCTGTCACTAAGGGTTGTTTTTGTTTTGGTTGTTTTAATATCCTAGTGATGTCAGATTTCTTCTTAAATCCCTCGTCCTCTTTTGAAGAGGGTGTGTAGATTTTGACAAGTAAAACTTACAGCTCTTGAAGGTGTTTATGCAGATTAAATAGAATAATAAACGAAAATTTCTCGTAAAGCTAGTCCCATCTATCTCTAGAGTATAGTTGGTGCAAAATGTAGACATGCAGGGTGGATGAGCTGAGTTGTCTTAGTGTTACTCTTCCTAGGAAGAAATCATCATGTGAACACATCTGGTGGGTAAGAAAACCAATGGAGCATTTTCACCACCAAGGTTAAGAGAGAATGGTATTTAACATAATATGACCTATATTGCTTCTATTCCTTGTACTCCCACCTCCCCACACTCACCCACTCATAAAGTGGTAATAGCCATTTTAATAGCAGTTAACACACTGGTCAGTTCTTGTCATTTTATTGACTTTTATGGACATCTGCTATCCATTTGACAAAGGAACCCAAGGAAGGCATCAATTCTCAATAGCAAAGCCTTCATTAAAAGGACCTTGCCATGGAAATGCAAACGTTACTGTTAAAGTGATCCTTAGGATCATCCTATATTCTAGGCATATAGCATACTTCTGGCTTATAGTGAAGTCTTCCTAGCCATAACTTTCTGTGAACAATCTTAGTAGTAGTAAGAATTAGAGTGATAGGGAAATACTGTTTAGTTGTTCTGCAGTCATCTTTGTTTTTTCTTCTTTGCAATCACTGATTTTAGTTTTACTGTTTGTTTTGGAGAAATAATTGAATTTTTCTTTGAAATGGGATCTTGATAGGCATATTTCAAATGGACCTATGCCTAGGATCTAAAAATAAAGTCTAAGGTGTATATCAGATTCCCAGAACAAGCATCTGTAATCACATGGGCAAGCGTGGTTGACCAGAGCCTCTCAGAGGTCCTCCCTGCTCTGGATGCAACTTGATCTAAAAAACGGTTCTTGGGCAGCCCTGGTGGCTCAGCGGTTTAGGGCCGCATTCAGCCCAGGGCCTGATCCTGGAGACCTGGGATCTAGTCCCTTGTTGGGCTCCCTGCATGGAGCCTGCTTCTCCCTTTGACTGTGTCTCTGCCTCTCTCTCTCTCTCTCTCTCTCTCTCTGTGTGTCTCTCATGAATAAATTTAAAAAAAAAAAGTTTCTTTGGTCATTTACTGCAAAGTCTTCACTTTCTTTCTTTCTTTAAAAAATATTTTATTTGAGAGAGAGAGAGAGCAAGAGAGAGAGAAAGAGCAAGCCCAAGTGGGGGAGGAGCATGGGGAGAGGGAGAAGCAGAATCCTTGTGGAGCAGGGAGCCTGATGCAGAGCCCCACATGGGGCTCAGTCCCAGGACTCGGGGATCATGATCTGAACTGAAGCAGACACTTAACCAACTAGGCCCCCCAGGCACCCCAAAAACCTTCCCTTTCTTTATAATTGCATCCCTTCCTCTTATTAACATTTCAGATATCACCATACACTGTTCCTTAAGAGATTGCTTCACATACCTTGATGGCCTTAATGGCTTTCTTGACTGAGGACATAAAGGTTTCAAAAAGGAATCCTGGACTTTCACTTCTCTTTTCAGCCTTTGCTGGCCGGCTCAGTTCCTACATCACCCCTACTCTGCCATGCCACTAGTTAAGGGAAGAAGATACCTGTGAGGGGCTAAGTGGGAACATTGGGAATAGGCCAACAAGCCCTCCCACAGGATTTCAGTTTTAAACAACTCCCATGGATGAATGTGCATCTGCATCTATCTAAATGGAAAGGCTAATGAATGACAGTGTGGTGAACACTTATTCCCTATAATTATGGGTCCTTAACTAAAGAAATAATATGCTGTGGTAATACACCTCATTAAATATATTTATCTGCTTAGCTTTAGAGTTTCCTAGTTATTTATGGAAACTTTTGCCTTCTGGATTTAAAAGCATGTGTTTTTATTGAAGAGTGGAAGAAGCCAGGTGTCCCTGTAGACTTTTGTGAAGCATTGTAATGAGAAATTTACTCCAGATTGAGTAGTTGTTAACTTAATATTTTAGAGGTTTTGTCCATATTTAATAACTTGGATTCCATAAAAATAAGATTAAAGATGCCTTTTTATTTACCAAAAAGCTATTTAATTTTCTCCCTGATTAAAAAATTATGGCTTTTTAGATCAGTTCAATCAGGCAATTAAAGATCAGAGCTTCTAAGTTCAGCTGAGGCAATTAAATAGGTAATATACTTGTTTATACACTTTTGCTATATAAGCTCATTGCTGTACCTTCTTAAAAGCCCATATACTCATTTTTGCTTTCCCTAAATGATGATGGGAATTCTAGTAGAATATGTGTCACATTGTCAAATCAAAGGCAGTGGTCCTTTTGCAGGGGTGGAGGTGGGGGAGGGCTGCTATAGGTACTGTGAGAACAGAGTGAACAGAAGATGGTGCAGAAAAATGCTCATGAAAGATCTAAGTTTCTTTCTGCTTTGTCTGGGTATAAGTACCTGTGTTCTCCTCCAATAATGATATTTCCTTTCCTACAAATGCTGCTCCTAGAGCCAGGGTCTTGTACTTAAGAACACAAATTTTAAAAGGTGATGTAACAGAGATTCATTCAGCTACCTAATAAAAAGAGAGAGAGAGAGAGAAAAAAAACATTTCTCACATTTAAATGGCTTCCTTGGAATACTGCAGTCCTAAATTTTTAGCTGTAAAACATAAATGCATAAATAGTATCTTTTGGAATTTATAAAACACAGTTAATGACTTCCAGACAAGCTGGTGAAAATTAAGAGTCTTTCCTGCAGTGCATGTTCAGTGAGGACTGTAGAGTGGAATGGACTCTGAGCAGCAGCAGTAACAGCCCACCCACCCTGCGGGGCTTGTTAGTCTGGCACAGGTTTGTTTCTTTGATGTGTATTATGTCCACTGGACATTTTTTTAGGAATTAAAGTATGATAGTTACTGTTCATAATGGATTATCAAATATTATATTCAATAAGTTTTTTAATTTTTTAAAGATTTTATTTATTTATTTGAGAGAGAGCATGAGTGGGGCAGGGGGGATGGGTAGCAGAGGGTGAAGGAAAGGGAGAGGGAGAAGCAGACACCCGCTGAGCAGGGAGCCTGATGCAGGACTCGATCCCAGGACCCTGAGGTCATGACCTGAGCCAAAGGTAGATGTTCTTCTGACTGAGCCACCCAGATGCCCTATCAATAAGGTTTTACTATTGTTTATTTTGTTCTTTTAAAGACTTGGTTGAGGTATATGTGCAAATACTTCATAAACTATCAAACGCTAATAATGAGCACAGGTTTTTATTATGTAATAATTATAAATTAATCACTTCATCCAGTTAGTAAACACATACCATTTCTAGATTAAGCTGGGGAGAGAGTTTATTTTTCTTTCTATTACTGGGTCAAAATTTATGAAAACCTTTTCTCTGAGACGTGGTATCACATGAGAAACATAATTATTAAAAATGTTTGAAAGTTCCACCTAGATTAACTACTGTGGAAAATTGTCTTTATTAAACAGCACATGTGTGAGCCCTGTAAGCATAGCATATACTGACTCAGTAAAAACAAAGAAAATGAACAGTGAGAAAGTCTAGTAGACCAGATTTGACATTACAGCAAACATTGCAGCTTAACTTCAAAACATACATCGCCACTAATGAGGTGAGAGCCCTGCATATTAATAAACCTGCAGCTCCAGCCATAGCCATCATTACCCACATCAAACATAAATACAAGATTAACACCTGTGCCATTTCTTTGGAAGATGTGAGAATGCCCTGGCAGTAACTGCTCTCTCTTTCCCTGAGGATAAAAAATAGAAATGGAAGGGTAATGAGAATAGAGCTTAGATTAAGAAAATAAAATTTGCAATCAGGGTAGGGCAATCTTACACAGATGGAGAAGTTTATAGAAAGAAAAAACCTAGATAGTTGGTGTCCCAAGACATTTTTGGTATATGTTAACCTGGTTAATTTCATCTGCTTTTTCTACTAGGAGAGTTTTTTAATGTTTTTGTATTTTATAAAAATATTTTTTTAATTTTTTTTTATATTTTTTTAATTTTAAAAAAGATTTTATTGTTTATTTATTAGAGAGAGAGAGAGAGCCCACACACACATGCGGAAGGGCATGAGCAAGAAGGAGAGGAAGGGCAGAGTGAGAAGGAGAGAATCTTAAGCA